AACCCTACCTTGTTACAATGGATGCCGTCGGAAATGCCAATATGGAATTAGATTTCAAGTCCTATGGAACTCGTCGTTTCATAATTTGTTTCGATTTGAGTTCAAACCACAATGGCGATCTGGCACACTCAGAGCAGCCTCTATTTAGAACCGGCTACCTAAAGTTGGGCATGTCCTTTGCAAAAGCTTTAGAAAATAACCTGGTTCTAACACTCATGGGTTACTTCGATACACATATCGAAGTGACCAGAGACCGACAAGTATTTACGAGATTTCCTCTTTGAACATCTGCTCAGAGTATAAATGGGGAAATCTCGCAGTGAAGTCGTGCAAAATGGATTCGCGTACCATCGATGCGGTTTTGAGACACCATCCTGCTTGTTTGGGAAAATATCACGGGACCTATGCATCCGATCAATTGGAAAAACTATCCTTCTCAAACTTCCCAGCATGTATCGTTTCCAACTGTTGCAGTCAAGAGAAACGCGGGCGACATTTCGTTGCAATGTTCCTCGAGAAAAAGGGTCATGTGGAGTTTTTTGATAGCCTCGGTCGGTTTCCAGGTTTTTATGGGCATGTCTTTGAAAGATTCGTGAGCGAGCATGGGGGAAAATCGGCTGTCTACAACGACGTTCAAGTTCAGAGCTCAAGCGCAAGAACATGTGGGATTCACGTCATTTTCTATCTCATCCATCGATGTCTCGACCACAACATGAAAGAGATTTATCCTCCTCATCTTCCCCCATCATTTCATGACACATTTGTGAATCGTTTTTTGCTGACACTTAGGAATAAATAAATAAATAAATCGCATCCATGCAGTTTCATTTAGAAATCCCGGAAGTGAACTTGCCTCTGAGTAAAATCTTTTTTCGTTTGCACAAACCCTGCAGAGAGTAGGGTTAACACATTGTCTGGTTAGCACATCATTAGACTGATGGAAATGGTCATGGACTGGTTCGCGCATCGTTAGACTAATGGGGATGGTCATGGAGTAAATGTTTTCCTTCCATTTCCCCATAGCTGTCAACATATGCTGATTTTGAAAAAAGTAAAACCCACAATCACTATTTTGAAAAGCAAAAAAGCCATAAATACATCACTTCGTAGCGATTTTCACTCTGCCAGTTTCTCCCTTCCTCTTTCTGCGTGATCTTGTCTCTGCTACAACATACTTCTGAGTACCGTAAGTTGGCAAATATTCGATTACTCCCATTACTTATTGGAAGTTTTCTAATCTCAAACTTTCATATCTCCCTTTCCATAGGTGATGCTCTTCCTCACTTATATTTTGAAATTTGAAAATCTATCAGATCGAAATACATTTGAGCTATGGTTAAAAGATTGTGTCAGAGGTGTTGTGGATGTAGTGAAGACGGAAAGAGAGGTGACCTTATTTCTGCGCCCCTCTGGGGGCACAGTTGGGCTCAGGAGAGAGATGGTAGTTGCATGGTTAAGGAATATCCCATGTAAAATTTTTACCTGGGTAGGTGATAGTGGAAGTGAAGAAATACTTTTGTCTGCTGTGAAAACTGCAGAAGAAATGCAAGCAAATTAGTAAGCTCATCACAAATTTCTTCACACATTCCATTTCACATTTGAAATAATTAATATACCTTTCATTTACAGTTATGATGAAGATTGGGATGATGCAGAGGAAGAGGGAGGAGGAAAAAGTTTAAAAAATTAAATAAATTCCCCCATCATTCCACTGTTCCTTCATGAATAAAAATCAGAATAATCTACCATTGATATTCACTTTAAAAAAATACAAATTCGTTACAAATGCAACCAGAGATGTGTTTAACACATCCTGTCTTCCACATGGAGACACTCATGGCCAGCGTCATTCAAGCTTTCTCCGTTACAGCTTTTTTCAGATCTTAGATCATTTATTCATACTTCTATTCTTTACTAGGATCATGTACGTCATCAGGGTGCACTCTGCAGAGGAGATAGATGATGCGATGGTACTGTTATCAGTACTGGCTCATGTGAAATTGGAGGTGACTTCTCCACATACTATCGTACTCAAACTCGAAGGAGACAATCGACTCCGGAAGAAGACCATTGAAGAGAAACTCGGGAGCCTACGTTCGTCCGTGAGATGGTACGCAGACGACGCGGACATCGAAAAATGTATCAAGACAGAGGAAGTCCGAGCTAAATATAATGTTGTCTGGTAATACCATTCCATACCTCATACAATTTAAAAAAATCCCTGTATGCATTTTTCATCAGAGACACACGCATTCTTTCCATCCGTATTAGTTAACTATTTCACTGAAATAATATTTTGGTATGTTCCTCGCTGTATATTCTTCTCATTCTCTTCACAGAAACGATAGAGGCTGAAGAGAATCAATTTTCCCAGACCCCTACTCCTGTTCCGACTACATGACTTCATATCCCTTTAGAAGTTCTTCCGCTCTCAAAAACTCACGTTTGGATTGCTTCCATTCACATCGCAATCATCATTATCAATATATTTCAATACTTTCCCTTGTTCTTCGTATATCGTGTCTGTTGAGGTAGAGATTGGCAATGAGTGAATTGCAATGAAGTTTCCTTTTCCATCAACACATATTTTCTAGTCTCATTTGGTTGCTCCCCCTCATCCACGTATCTGAGAGACATGATGGGAGGGAGTTGGAGAGAGTTCCTCATGCGACACAGAATCCTTGACCGTCAGAGGCCGAGGCTGTAAAAGCAGAAGAGCGTGACGGAAGAAACCACCACAATCATTACTCATAGGAGAAAATGTGTCCAAACATGTTGACGTAATCGATCCATCCATCCGACCCCCATCTTGATGTGAAACGGTAAGAGTCAATTAAACTGGGAATTTATGCCGCGAGATTCATGCAATAATATTTTTCAAATCGAACAATCGCTTCATAAAGGTACATGGATAATGCAAATCATCGCAAACTCGATAATTCAACGTTAATTCACGGAGTACTCGTGTAAATCGATGATAACCTGAGGTTAATTCATATGAAATTGAGATGATTTAATAAATAGAAAATTGCGCTTTCCGCGCCGAAAAATCGTTTCATAAAGGTACATGGATAATGCAAATCATCACCCACTCGATAATTCAACGTTAATTCACGGAGTACTCGTGTAAATCGATGATAACCTGAGGTTAATTCATATGAAATTGAGATGATTTAATAAATAGAAAATTGCGCCTCCCGCGCCTCCATTGCGCCTCCGGTCAAACTTACCTTTTTTATACTACTCACGTAACTTCCGCTAAGATGACGAAGGGTAATTCATTTCTTTTCGCGTATTGCATTATTCACGCTTTTGGCAGTCATGCATGCACGGTGAGCCTTTATATACCTTTATATACCAGTCAATTGCGATGCATTCTTTGGTCTCTCCTTTAGCTTTAGCCTTGACTATTAGTTGCCATAATAGTTGACATGGTTACCATTAAGGTTAAATTGTGATAACTACACCTGAGTAGGTCCGACGCTTCAAGTGCTTCAAATACAAGTGTTTCCTGAATGAAACTGTGGGTGTGGAGGTAATAAATAAATCGAAAACTTAAATGCTTGGTCTGTCCCGATTGGGCATTCGAGAGCTTGGAGGGTTAACCGACTGAAGATTTAAATAGTATTGTACCAGGGGCTTTATATGAGTTTTCTTGTCATCACAACCAAGGTGAAACTCTTTCTAGTCTACGATACGCACGTTGTACTGTTCCAAATCATTTTTAGGTTATTTATTTCTTTTTATCGTTTCCCAATAAAATTATAATATTACTGGAGAACACAATAGTTCATATTCAGACAATGATGGTATTTGAATTTCTCTGGGAGGGGTAATACAACCATATTGAAGCACTTTAAACGTAGCGGAAGTGAGTGTGATACGGCAAAACTTCCTTTATTTCTCGAGGTAATTTTGATGAACTTGCCACGCGACGGCACATGGCCGTCGGGACTGAGTCGTGTCATCTTCTATGCAGAGGTCTATGCTCATCGTCTATGCTTCTGTTTTTGCATCTTCTATGCAAAAACAGAAGCAAAAACTGCTGCAAATGCAGGCAGATTACGTTCTTAGGTGGACAAGGATTTGAATGAAATTCCTGAAAGCACGTTGAAAGGAGGAAGAAACCCCAACAGAAACCAAAGAAGCCACATCGATGCAGCCGTCGAATCCATATGCTAAGTTTGGTGGAGTGAACGGGATACTATTCACATCGCGCACGAAGTCTGGCAACATACTTTTATCCAACAATTTGTCGGACCTTTCATGCAGGATATTGTTTGCTAAGTACAAGGTGCATGAGTATACATGCAGCAGCAAAGCCGATGTTGGGACGGTGAAAGAGTGGAATGGGTATTGGATCCTTTTCCTCGATCGGCTTTCGACTCGGGGTTCTATAACTTCCTAATCAGAAGATTAATATATGTTTGAATTATTAACTCGGTAAATTTGAAAGTGAGGGCTCCGGATGTACGGCACATGACATTGAAACAATTTAGGCTAGTTTCACGTGTCACTCTCTCCAAACCACGTTGCCATGCGTGGAATCTTTGACTTTTTTCGTGCTGCAGCAGATTTATTTTTCTCGTGCCCATTTTGCGAACGATTGGCACGCATGTGGAAATGGATTCAGCAAGAACCGATGGTAAGATTGGGAAGGCTCTGCAAGGCCTGAGCCTCGTTACTCTTTCGCTCTATTCCAAGAATATTACTAGGAGGCTCTAAGAGATCGGTTTCTGTTCAAAGCTCAGCTTGAAAGCTCCTCATTTTTACTTTGGCTACCCTATACCGGTTTCTCAGTCTTGCCTCCTTCAAGAGTTTGGTCTGACTAAGTAATTGTGCCGTCTTGTGTGAGGGGTTCGTGAAATTTCTTTGACGAAACGTTCCACAAGATTAGCTCGTCTCAATATTCCTACGGCACGTTACTGTACTGCACTTTGTCGTCCAGCCAATCACCACTAATTCTAGACAATATGTGGACATGAAAAGTTGCCAACAATTTAGACCACGCAACATACTATTATTGCATACCAGATCATCCCAAACCGCAACCTCTGAACGCCACGAGAAAAAATTAGCCTTCGCAGTCGTACCTGTACATTAAATAAATGCGGCTGATGAAACATTAACGCCGGTTCCGCGTTAAAATGTACACATAACTTCGCCTTTTCAGGACACTTATTTTTTACTCTTTAAAGCCAGAACACTCAGAAAAAATAGTAATTTGGTACTGGCTTTCATCTTATCGCAGACAGCCATTCATTTCATTTCCATTGATTTCTTTCTCGCGTTCATCTTTGACTTTGATCAAATGGGAACTAGCAGCCTGCGGCCGCTACCCTGGCCGCCTAATAGGTGGACATTTCATCCTACTATTATGAGCATAACGTCCCCTTGACAATCCCCTGTTCACCTCATTACTCATTCAGAACTGAACCGCTTCATTACATGTATACACTTTTAGCTTACAGTACAGAGATTCTGTTCCTAAACACCACCATCATGATATTCTGGCTGATCGCCACAATCGTTCATTGTGAACGGTTTAGCACGTTTTCATGACACTCAAGACGACTTTGCTGATTTTGTCTCCCAAGCACATTCAATACTCTTGCATCACCGATTAGCTCATGTGCTATTAGCGTTAGCAAATAGTACAGACACCAATGATCCAGAAACAGTACGGACCATTTCAAGAACTTGTTCGAAGGCACAAAAGGGAATTTAGTACATGTGCGGCACAATGCTAGCGACAAATTCCAGAAAATGCCTCGCCACCACATTACCCTGAGGCTCTGAAAGTGTTGCACAATGGTGCTAAAGTGTGAGTTGCAGCAGGACCATTTTTACGTTGTGGGGAGGAGGCATTTGATTCACATCAAAATGCACAGCCTGACAGTGCTCGCTGCGCAAACGACTGTAGTGATTCGAGATGACATGGAGAGGCCTGACAAAGAGTCCCGAATTCTGTGGTGTAAGGGTAGCACACTTGACCGGCAAGCAAGAGGTCCGGCTTCAATTCCCGGCCGCCCCACGGCTTTCGACACCTGAGTGTTGCGTTCCTTGCATCAAGTTGCCCAGCAGACTGCATGGTTCTTCTATTCCTGAGTTGAGCATTCGCTGCCTCTTGCTGTTCAGCTTAACGCTCCCAACATGCAACATTCATCAGTCATTCTAGCCATTATGGCTAGCACCTCCTAAAGCACCGATTTAGGCCCTTCGCACCGCAACTGCAGTGGCAAACGTTGTTTCCTTGCCAGCACCAATCGCTTATTATCTGCAGCGACTGCCTCATCGCCGTCGTGTGGGACCTCTTTCAACATTTTCTTTCCATGTTCAACCTCACCTCGCAAAGACCGCCACAATTTTGATAGGAGGAGAGGCCAGTTTGCGCGACGTATGAAACAAAGAACTTACGTTTTTATTTTGATTTCACCAATCATGAGAACTCGAATAAATCGGCCATGAAACGAAACGCAAACAGAAAACTATCGCATGGAAGTGATGTCCCGAACCGCCATGCTTGACCTAACGGAAGAAATAAAGAAAGAAAAAAACATTGATTGACACAGCTAAGTATGGATCCTATGGCTGAGACTAGTATAGCTCAATGGACCTGGCGCTAAAAGCGTTGGATAGCCAAGCCTATGGCCTAGAATAATATAGCCTGAAGGACCTGGGGCTTTGAGAGGTAGATGGCCTAGCCTTTCGCCTCCAGTGACATTCGAAGTAAAGTATATGATGGCCTGGTGCTTCAGGCCGTGGGTGGCCAGGCCTATGACCTACAATGGAATTGGATCGTAGGCCTGCGCATTGGGGGTGGCGACCTCGACCTGTACGATCACCACCGCAACTTTTGGCCTCTTCGAATTAAAGTAATAGATAATAATAATAGATAATAGATCGGTTGAGTTTGTATGGAATGACTCACCAGCGTCGCTATCCAAGTGGATGATGGCTTGGAGTAGATATCACTTGGCTTGTCTTACGACTTCGTCGCTCGCTGCTTCTTAGAGTCACGATATTTTTTTATAGCTGTCGTGTCCGGAACATGGTTATGTGCTGCTCCTGGACAGGTATTAATGCAGTTGGAGTCCATGAACAAGATTCCCTCACTGGAAAGGGAACGTAGGGCAGTACACCACCGGATTTTGTCTTTCTAATTGGAGTGCTTCACATACATTCA